CCGTAGAATTTCGTTTGTTTCTATGTACGCTCTGATTACAACTCACTTGTTAAGTTATTCACCGCATTACGTAATTCGTCAGCTTTATACAATTTCTCATGTGTACTAAATAATATTAGCAACTATTCTCATAAAGACTCATCTCTTTCTTTCTATCCACGTTTATGAGAGAGAAAAAATGTGCAGCTAAAATAAAATAAATTACAGAAAAAAGACTCTTCGTTGAACTACGCGTCTTGTTTTCATTAATACTCAAATGGGAATCATTCATGAAGAATTCATGAATCATTCATTCAATAAAGAAAATCTTCCATCATCATTAGGAAAGACATGTGGACTGATTTATTGAAGGAATCATCTTTTTTCCCTTTCTTGCATTCCAATCGGAACATACAGTTTCAAGAATTTTGAGGTCTCAGTAATGGTGTTTTTGTATTTTTACTGAGTGGATTCACTAGCCTCATGCGCCTACACGTAGGAAGGTGTAGCCTTTCTGACTGGTTGGGGTCCTAGAGATGGTAAACACCAATGAAGGTGGAGACAATCGGTGATATGTCTTAAAATCGTTCTCACTGACGCAGATGTAACTTATAATTCCAATGAAACTATATTGTTTTTCGTTATTACTATTCCATTTGTCTCACACCTCTGTTTACTGTCTCTATTATGCATTTCTTCTACTTTCTTCTCTTACTTTGTGTGCTACATGGAGGGAGTGTGGGGACTTGAACTGCTGCACATCGGTGCAAATTTCTATGTCGAAAACAGACAGATATTGAAACTAGTCAGTCAGACTAGCCCCACGCTCGAATTGCCCTCTTTTTACCGGCATACTGCGGGCTAGTAAACTAGTTGAGATTTAGTAGTGACTCTGCCTGGAGTCGAACCCTAAATCCCAGCATGGTTGGTGAGTACTTCAAACATTTAAGTCGAATAATTAAATTAATTCCAGATTGATTGATTTATAGGATATATTACACAGTGAAACGGTATTATTGTTATGATTCTCAGTTCTTTCTATAAATAAATTTTCTAACACCTGGTAACAAAATATATGAAGCTAAATGCAATGAAAAATAAATTACGTAATCTGAAGACATTAAGTGATGAGCACCGCTCACAAATGACTAGAATTAAACTAGAAGATGCCAAAAAAATACATATATATTTGGGTAGTGGTAAGACAGGAATACGTTGGACCGCTAAGAAGACTCAGAACTTCTGGATTTAGCAGACGATTTAAAGTTTGATGTCAAACAAACTTGAAGATTTACAGGCGAAAACAGCAAAATGGCAGCGAAGACAGGACTCCGGTGAACACAGTGAAGACGGAAGTGATGAAGATAATGAGCCATCCCCATCACCATCAGCAACAGGATAAAATGAAGATATGCAGTTGAAGCCCTACGTCCCACTTGGAACCCACGGGAATAACAATAATAATGAGTTTTGATTGAGTGAGTCTGCTGGCGTCACGCTCAACCTTCCCTTTTCACCAGGTTCCCAAATGAGTCGACCAGCAGTCAAACCCCGGACCACTTGAGTCGTGGTTGGCAAGCATCCTACCTCTGAACAACGGATGCATTTCATAAAGCATGCATTCCTATTCACTGGTCCACACGATGGGTGAGTGTTCCTCATCAAAGAGAAAGGGCAAATTTGAACGTTTGGAGTTTACAACCGGATAACCGGTGGACATGCTGTTATACCGAAGGCGGTTGGGAGACTCTAATTCTAAATCTATGGTGTTGCATGATCTTCACACTTTGAACGGATCGAATGGTGCATGTACCTGCTTTGGACACCGTCGATCATGGGAATGTAGCTCCTGACGGTGGTCCACTACCTTGTGGATCAGACTTCAAATCGAAAGTGCCACGGGGGTTCATCAAGTGGCTCTAAAGGGAACCACTAGATTCCTTTTGGGTGTACAGGCAGTATTCCAGTCCTTTCACAAACTGTGGGATTTTGGGTGCCCATAATGTGCCAAGTTTGTGACTTAATAAATACATAAATAAATAAAAAGTCTCGGAAAGCGCAACCAGGTGGTCTAACTAATTAACGAACGAACTTTTTACCTCACAAAATATAAAGTCGAGAGAAAATGAAAGAAAAACATCAAAAACTAGAATGTCAGTCACACAATAACAATAGCAACAAGAACAAAGATAGTAAGCTTATTAAAAGTCATATTTTTTTTCGACAAATCTCTATGATGCTAATTAGTCTACTGTCCACTGACTAAGCGGATTGGATTAATTAGGTGACCAAGTAGAACACAAAACAAAACAAAGCAAAATGCCATTATATCATAAATTAAGCCAGCCGGTTAATAAGTAGACTGGCTAAACTGACCGAGTTACAGCTCAGGCGACTTTTCACAGAAGTGCATCAGTTTAGACTGATATACTCCTTCCATATAGTCCACAAAGTTCAATCAGACCACCTCTAACTCTTTTTCAACCTTATCCTATGTCAGCTAACATTATTCATCGAGGAAGGCGATGGTTTGCGGAATACGCAACACTTGTTTTGGCTATCTCAATCGATGTAGCTTAGCAACCACATCAGTTGACTTACTCTCATTTATTTAACGCACCACGTCCACCCTCAATATTGATGATCAAGAACAAGAACACTGCAAGACTGTACAAGGATCTTCTACGGACAATGTTTTCATTTCTGGAGGTAAGGAAACAGAAAGGTCGTCAGTATTTCCATCTACTTCATATTTATCAGAAGCAACATGTAGTTGTTTGGATTACCATTCTGATTTCAATGAAATAAGAGAGTGATTACCTTGAGATGGGCGTTGCAGAGTTCTTCCAGCCAAATAGATATGATAAATGTCTACTAAAAGGTTGGACTGCATTCGACTGCTGGAGGCAACTGCCTTTAGCGACACTAAATCACGCATACGATTATTTCTCCAAGATATACGCTTTTTCGCTTGCTTCTTCGTCAAAAGGAGGGTGTTTTGAACTTGTTGAGGATACGACGGTCATTCATAGGACTGTATTTGCTTGACATGTAGGCGACTCAAAAAGAAGTATACAAAGAGTGACAGGGAACTCCTGAAGTATGCGTAGCAACCTCATTTCCAGAGATTGCACTGTTATCATCTTGTTCAGATGAGTCATTTTTGGCAGTTACCAGAACCAAAAACACATCGGAAATGATATTTGATGGTTGGAGGCAATCGGCTTCAGGAAGCCTTCGACCTAGGTTTCGTGCTAGTTGGCACTTGTCACCAAGGCGTATCTGGAACCTTGAAGGAACTCATGTCCCCACTGAGATTCGAACCCACGTCACCCAGTGCTCAGTGGTAACGTCTCTGACTTCAGCACTGGGTGATGCGAGTTCGAATCTCAGAGGGGACATGAGTCCCTTCAAGGTTGTTGACTTACTGGTGAGTGCCAACTAGCACGAAACCTAGGTCTAAGGCTTCCTACCGATAGACTCCAACCATCTAATACACCAACATTTCACAGTGCACCGTAATGTCAAGCCACCTAGTGGCATGGTGGCCACATTGCAAACCTGACTGACAGAATTCAGTCTGCACCAAAAACTCGATACACACATCGCACTAGTTACTAGTGTCCAATCAAAGTACACATAGAATATCTTATACGAAAACTACCAACAATCACTTCAACAAATTTTGGTGAAGCTTCTGTACATTGTCGATTCGTTTCCTATACTGGTCGTTATTTATCATTATTGAATCTGTTTTGTTGATGTGATCTTTGACTTACAGTTGTCATCATCGGCCGGTTACTTGTAATAGAATCATATTCGTGACTGGATCTAAGTGGATAGAAAGTTGACTAAGCTTCTAACTCTGGAGTTATATCTTCATCCTACGTATGTACTAACCCTGCCAGTTCAGCAGATATGCCGTAAAGCTATCAAAATAACAGGTATAGTTGTGTTGGGTTGTCAAAAAGTTTTGAATATGCTCAACAGTGAACCGTCTGAACTGCAGTATGCTGACGGATGTCGAGGCTACCACACACCGTACACTCATTATGAAGACAAAACGAAAAACACTGACACTGCACTGGGTTTAACCATAGCTGGAACCACATTTATGAGGCTGTACAAACCAATTACCCAGATGAACGAATCCTTTGTTAAGCAAACATCACTCGACTACATTATATGTAATGCCCGAAATAGGACCAGTTTCCATGATCTTCTTTGCGGAGCTTGATGGGAAAAAAGTATTCGGCACTAGAGAAATCTTCGTTTCCGTAGGAAAACACGCAAAGATCTTTCGAGAATGCACATAGATCTAAGGAATGTGATGTTTCAGGTTTCATAACGCACTTAAGTAGAACGAATGAATACCAAGCTTTTGATGAAATGGAGCAAGTGACTTCCTTATTGGGATCATTCAACGGATCATTATATTTCTTTGTAAAGAAAGTACTTTCGATACAATATGTGACTGAAATTAACCAGTGAGAAGTATCATTAGGACTGATGAACTGGTTCAAGCTCGATCTATTACATAGAATTCATTCCATTGATAGATGGGCTGTTAATTTTAACCAACTACCTAAACTAAACGCAATATTCCGTCATACGGACAGCCATAAAATACGAAAAAAATAATAATGATAATAGTAATAAATTTAAAATCCTGTGCATGACAGACAAGACCATAGTAGAAGTAGTTATGTATGCACCTAAACTGTAGCAATAAATCGTACACATGAGAGAGAAAAAAAAGGAGGAGAAGGTAAGAGAGAAACACTTATAAAATTAGAACCCCCCCCTTTTTTTAAAAAAATGAAACGCAATTTATATCGTATCACCAAGTGAAAGTTAAAAACACTGACTAGTGAAATAATCCGTTTTCCTAACTTCATTTTATATCCTGTAAACCTGAGACTGCACATGCAACTTGAATTATCCACATACATATATACACACATACACGCACAACGGTGGGGAAATACTTTCATCACAGTAGAAAAACGCTATCGACTTACCCATGCAATTTTCGGTAGAGGAGTCTGCGTCTGTTCAGACAGCGAGAGACAGAGAGAGAGAGGGAGACGGCGGGGAGAAAAGGAGGTAAAAACAAAACAACAACAAAAAAACGAATTAGTAATGAGTTTTAAGAAAAAATCTAAAAATAAAAACAATCTACGCCATAAAGCTCAAATCGATATCAGTAGTATATATCGGTTTAAGAGAGAGAGAGAGAGAGGGAAAAAAAGACAATCAACATTACTGATAGGGTAAAAAATTCATTAGAAATTAAAACAAGCAACATTTCAGTGATAAACCTGTAATAAGGTGTGTGTGTGTGTGTGTGTAAGGATAGTGCATGCTGCTAAAGTGTATTATTGTACAGCGTGTGAAAGAGGAAAAGGAGGCTAATCACTGCAATCTAGTTCCAAGTGGTATTACCAGTAATGGTAGTCGTGGCAGCAGCAGCAGCAGTTTTACTTTGAATGAAACTCACTGGTGGTGATAAAGCGTATTTTAAATTATTTGGAAGAGAGGCAAGTTTGTTAATACAGCAATAATGATCGTGTTAGTTGATTTCGATGGAAGACAACAGTTCGTTCAATGTGTCAAATTCAAAAATAGCACGGTTAATCACACACACACACAGGTGATAAAAGAATTTCTTAGATGAATTAAAGATTTAAGACGCGACATGAAGGGAAACACACACACACACACCAGAGTTCAGCACAACTTTAAGTGAAGTATAAAAGAAGAAGAGTTCAGTGAAGAGTTACTCATCTTTTCATCGAATATCATTCTCTCAAAGTGTACAGGGGTACACATATTGAGTACATTTTCATAGTAACAAAACGCGTGTTTCCAAATATGTGTCATTAGAATTGTAAGTCATACATTACATAATGTAATACAGAAAGCATTAATCAGGAAGAAACTAAAATAAAATTAAGCAAGTAAACTGAGTGACGTAACACAACTGACAAGGCTGAGTAGAGCTCAACTAAAATTCAAGTTATGATCAGTGTTATGAGGAGCGTCATGAAAAACACTTGTTCTGTATGCAGAGTTCAGGATTTTACACACACATTGCTATAGATTCTGAGGTTTGAGGAAGCTTAATTCATACTTCCTTGGCAAGATTCATGCAACCTCTGTACATAATTCCAAAGTTGGTTTGCAAGTTCGCTCGATGTCCAAAATACAGCTTGGGGGGGGAGGGACTTTCCCCCCCCTTGAATGTAAGTGCCCGATGACGCGTTTGGATAGCAAACACTGAGTACGGTTGACACACCTAGCTCTACAGCAACAAGATTTCAGTTAATTCTAAACACAAAATGAATGAGAGTGAACATGTACCGACAACAAACCACCTTATTTAAAAGATATTAACTTGAAATAAGCAGAGAATATTTTAAAAAATGGTTGGACAACCCATCATAGGTAATGACTGACTAAGTTTAACTACAGAAATTTCAATAGAAGTTAAGCAGTTCAAGTTGCTGCACTCCAGGAGGCACACAAAGGTGTAGAAAAGTTTCACCGGAACTATAATAAACAAAACTGTAGAGGGAAGAAAGAATAGTAACATGGAAAAACATGAGGATTTAATGGATATGGGAGAACACAGGTAGAGAATACATGTACTATAAATCCAATAGTCTCCAATCATTGGTTCTCAACATCCTGAGAATCCCGACCAGACAGTCTGCATCACCCTATGCGTCTACCTCAAGGCAACTGTCAAAGACTTCATGGACTGATTCCAGTTTTTGGTATGACCATATCTAACACTCTTTTTCCACCTAACCATATCTCAGCTAACACTGCTCATCGAGGAAGACCTTGGATCACGATGAGCAGTAGGTGCCCTAGCCATCTCAATCTATGTGATTTTATAAGCTCATCGATTGACTTACCCTCTTTACCTAACACTCCATGCCTAACCTCAATATTGATGACAACATTATACTGTGATTGTAGACAGCAATATACGTCAATGTTACGTCCCGAATCGGGGCCATGAGAATAACAATAACGAAGCCTAACCTTGAGGAACTCACCAACCAATCACAGCAGACTTAACGTGTGCAAATAGGATTCGCAGATATATGGCTTAACTTTCTGAGAAACTGTTACAAACGGTACAGGATAACCTTCAGCAAGAAAATAACCAATCAGAAGACGTTGATTCTTTGTTGATAATAATTTACATAAAAATTTATAAATATCTGTTGATTTTCTCAATGAAGGATCTGTTGCCGCGCCCTTGTCTTCTGTCGTTACAATGCCACTTAACATCTGTGGTCAAAGACAGTTGACATTTTCATATCCTCCATTTTCGATGGCCCCGTCTGACACAGTCATGAAGAAGGACAGAGGGAACTACAAATAAGTGAAGTGGTCCACACACTCCACCATTTCACTCCATACATTTAAGCTAGGAGTCCAGTTCCAGTGTAAATACGTTTCTCTTAGAATTAAAAATACTGGAAACAGTGAAATTAAGAGTGGGTTTGATACCCAGAAATTCAATTAGAAAATTTCATTACTCAACCATTGAATCTACACCATCACACACTGTGTGCTATTTAACAGAAGTTCAAATTCACATTGATCAAAACAAGCCATCACCAGAATCGGTAAACTTATTAAGGGATAGAAATCTAGCTAGATCTACGACGATTTCCTGTAAAATTGTCCTCAAAACAAAATACTTCAGCCACCCACCCACCCACACACACACAACAGAAAGGGATAGAATAACAATGCCAATTTCTGAAATAATTAAGTAGATAGAGGGGGAGAGACAGGTTGACCATTGTGTATGCGTTAATTCAATCAACATCACTATGGAGTGTGTAAAAAATTTTACTGGCATTAAAATCATGGAAGAAAAGAGAAGCAGAATTATGAAAATCACCTTGGGAAATGTGTGTTACTCTACCCTGATATTGTCAAAGTGTTATTCATCAAATGATGGTACTTCTGTATCACACTGCGATGCATCCACTCCAAGCTGAAGCGATGTTGTCTAGTAAAACGCTGAAAGCTTCACGACTAAATACACCATCCAGCTCACAGAACTAAAGTATACCAATATCATTCCTCTTGAGAGACCTACAAATCTTCTCCATTCCTATCTAAACTAAAACTGATCCAGTAGAGAACACCTTACTATAAGACGAGACATATCACTTTTTATTGCCCCTTCTTGTGCATACACACTTCCTACAAGGAACACTAGATAGGTATTACTTCTTAGCTTGCGTTTTCCAATCGTGCAAACTCACTTCTCCATCTGGGGAGAGAACCTACAGCCATTAACTCACGTCGCTTATATATTCCACCTACCACAGATCCACCGCCACTCTTAGTGTACAAATACCCCATATCTTCTTTCATTCTTTTGCGTCCCGAGTGGAACATAGAGCTTCGGCCAACAGAAGTGACCTTTTACGGCGTGGAGTTGTTAGCCTCACACCCAACCTTCCCTCTTTACCGGTTTTAGTATCAGGTAAGCGGAATTTAGCAGCGCATTGGCCAGTAATCGAACCCTGAACCACTTGAGTGGTTGGCGAGCACTCTACATAAGTGAACCACCGACGCATATACTGTTCACTTTAAACTCTCACGTAAACATACCTACAAATAGATGTGACGCACAATTCATGACCACATATCTTAGCTTATCTACCACGCTAACGTGTTTTTATACAAAAAAAGTACCATTATTGAAGCTGTACACACACTCGTTCGTGTTCTACTGAAATAAGCGTGTACGGTATTTTACAAAAATAAAAACCCAGAAAAATAAATCACAAAAACCCCGCAAAATGATTCAACTAGACTAGATAGCCGCATACATACATACATACATACACTCAAAACACGCACACACACACATACGCATAAATCACTATTCTTCTTCGCTACAATGATATTTGGCTGAAATTCAGTCTATGACGTAATTAAAATAACTCACTTTATTTTGTCCCATCTAAGATTTAAACAGTATTCGAAAGTAAAAACAACAACAATGATTAAAATAAGCGATTGTTATTTGAAGCGAAAATTTTGCAGAAAACCACAGAGACCAGACATTTGAGAAATCAAGGTTATACATAAATTGTGAAGGACACTAAAACACATGTGCTAAAATTATCATATCGAGAAGAATGGAAGTAGAGAAAATAACTTATGTATTCATATTCTAGCCAACAGCGACGTAAGAGTATGCCTGACGGCGGATACCACCGGTCGCCATTATACACAGGTGTTAAAAAACTAAGGAGAAATCAACCACATATCCCCGCTCACCTCAGATGAATTATAGCCAAATCTACTTGTAGGCTATCGTTGATTCAGAATAGACGCTTACCACACTTGGATTTTGTGTGTGTGTGCGGGTACCACCTACATCCAAAGCTAAAGTTTCAGCTGGTAAAGTTTAGTTGGCCGATTCGACAGAGCAGCTTTAGATGACCTGACATAGCATTTTACTGAGTCAGGAGAAATTGAATAAACTGTATGAATGAAGAATAGTACTAACAGTAGGAAGATGTAGTGAAGGTCGAGGAGTAGACAGATATAAAGAGTATGTGATCAATCGAAGAATCTGTTTGCTGATACAAACATACAGGTAGTTTGCATTTTTGGTTCGTCGGCACCAGGGATGTCGATTTCTTCTACAAGTATCCGAATGGAAAGCAAGCCCATAATATGTCTGACTGAGAGGCTAGTTCTATGTCTGATCAGCTTAGAGGTTTTGGGACTAGTGAAGTTTTTCCGTAAGTGTTGTCTACGGACTCGCATAAGACATTGTTCTCAAACTATACCATATGACAAACTGCTAATACAATGAAAGTATCACTTCTCAGTCTTGTTGATATCCAATCAAAATTTTTAAGCACTGAGAGGGTTCTGGGAACAAACGTTCCAGTTTATACTGTTGGTTCAATCAGTATAATATACAAGTCCTATTGTGGTGAGAGCTGTCTGCTAGCTAAAACTGGTAGACAGCAATTTACGTCAATATTTACTTCCC